AACATAAAATAGGAATTCATTCAGTAAATATGAGATTGAAGAATAATTAATTTTCTCCTATCTTTTGGTTAAAGCAGTCTTAGCTATCAATATTTGTTTTTAACATTTTTAACAGGCCTAACTTTTGTTGTAATGCAAACAAATTCTTTTCACATGCATTAGAAATATATAGATCTGAGAGTTTCATAACTTTCTTTTACTCACTAAAATTTTCACTGTATTTTAATAAAGCAATCATCTTGACACATTTTGATCCTATGTACCTTGGGTCTGGGCTGTTTCCCCAGGGACAGGAACATGTATAAGCTTCAGGTTCTCTAGATAGGTCTGGTACTGTCGCCTGGCATCAATCAAGTCATAGATCATACAGGCTATGTCCTCAAACAGGGCTGTCCCTAGATTATTCTGAAAACACAACATGTATATTAGACTGGAACTTCCACAGATCAAATCATTCCAATGTACCACCTATGACAGAGAAGTAGACAGACGAGAGGAAGCCTACCTTCTGTTCTGGATCTTCCAGATTTTCGGGTACGATGAGGTTCTTGACTTCGTAGTCTTTCCTGGCGACGTTATGGAGGTTGCTGCCGTCCGCTGGCTTCTGTAACAACAGTAGGATGTCCTTCCAGAACTGCTTCAATTCCTTCTTCAGTTTCTGCTTCTTGGCTCTTTCTGCTTCATCCAGAGCTATAACATAAACCAAACGATCAATGTAGTCTGGTCCTGATCCACTGCAGTGTAGGTCAGAGAAAAGGTGTACATATTGAGCATCTTCATTTGAAAATGTCAATTTAATATATGCTACTTCCTGATGACCATCATTTTTTCCTTAATTAACATATTCTTGCATAGTGACCAGGTTGTAATAAAAATTTACAAAATTGATACATGTCTACTTCAGGGACCTTTCTGAGAATACAATGTTAAATTACACTAGACTGAATAAAATTCTTAGAATCAATGAAATGCTTTAAATATAAATACAATGCACTGTCACACAGAAAACATTGTATCAATAAATACTGCTGTACAAAAAACCTTCACCCTGTGTGTTTTATGTTGTAATCCAAGTAAATGGACTAGAAAACCCATATACCTACCCAGTGTTTTTTCATCCTTCTCCACGTCAGGAATCTCTGGCTTCTCAAACCTGGAGTAATCCTGGGAGCTGATCTTAATGATGGAATCCACGGTGATTCCGAGCTCAGATAGGTAGGCAATCAGATGGGGATTATTGTAGCCATACACAACCACGTAGTGCTGAGCTCCGTCATCTGGCTCATCATCTATAAATAGTACAGAAATGTGGTGTATATGACAATTAATCATATTCTGGAAAAAGACACACTTCAGGATTCTTCAAAATAAGTATCTTAGTTACCAAGCCGAGAAAAATATTTGTACTTAATAAGATCAAAGTTAGAGACAGCTTATCTTACAAGCTAATAGCATGAGCAACTCATTGAACTTAAATCTTTTTAAAAATATTTTCAAATAAAGATATATATCCAAAAACTCTCTTTTTTCCCTTGCAGAATTGAAAGAAAAAAAATACCTATATATTTTCCTTCATCATCTTCTTCCCCTCTCTTCCTCAGTTTTGACCCTTCCTTAGCAGAGGGAGGTTCAGGGGTTTTCTTCCCTCCCCCTTTGCCCTTCCCAGCAGACTTTGGTTTGTCTTTTCCTCCTCCTTTTCCCTTATCCTTATCACTCCCCTGTTAGAAGCACAGATTAGTTAATTTAGACTCTGAATGAGTTTTATTTTGTGTATTTCACACTGAAAATTTTTACAGTATGTAGAAAAACATTGATTAAAATTCCATATCAAAATTGTGCATATATATTATAATTTATACTCAATACATGTGTCTTGCATAAATGGAAAATTCCAGGAAATTTAATTTCAGGATATATTATTTCATTAAATATTATTGTCGTACATGTATTGTATAATTGTGTGCCTGAAAATTTAATCATATATACAACAATTTTAAAAAGACAAAATTTCCAAAGCATATCAGGGACAAAAAAGGAAAACAATATTATAATCATGCACAAAAGTAAATGCTTTCAGAAAACATTCAGTGTTTTTTTTTTTTTTTCCTCTTTTTCAACTTTTTTGGAATAAATTTGGATTTTGTGAGGGAGCCCTCTTTTTAATTATCTTCGAAAAGTTAATTGTTACCAGAGACAATCTGATCATGAAATCAACTTGTCCAGGAAAATTAGAAGTAAATATCGGTATATGCTTTTTACGCAATTTGCACTATCTTTAATAGAATCATTCACTTTATCAATTTATCAAATTATCAATTTAGTCTTTAAGCTGATGTCTGATGAGTGATGATGATTATGGAAAAGCATTCATTTTCCTTTTTTTTATATTTATTTTTTACAAAACAGATAAGTAGTACTATGTACAATATTGTTTGAAAAGCTATGTGATATGGAAGGATATTTATAGTACAAAGGGGAATACTTTTGGATATAGTTAGTACACAATTTGGGTCTAAATGACCACTAACAATATGAAAATGTAAATCCTGTCTTACAAGATAAACATTATGTTGGTGATTAAGCTATAACCTTTGGTGATTGTATAATTAAAGCATGCAGTTATTTGTGCAAGTATTGCTCCAACTACATTTGTAGGCAGATATAATTTAAATGTGTTAAATATTATAAGATTTGTGCAATAAATTTTACTGTAATCATTTCCTATAAATCAATTTATTTCTTGTGTTTTTTTTTTTTTTCTTAATCTAAACAAACCTTAAAAATAAGAACAAAATTCTACTTAAAATCATTATTGGTGCAGAGTAGAAATTATAATAAAAAAAGGTTTACGAACAGAAATTATACTTCACCTTCTTTTTCTTACCACCTTGACCCTGCTGTTTATAATGTATAGAGTCATGTTACAGTGCAAGTGTTAACTCTCAACTAAACATGACAACATTAATTTTCAAAACTTTACATACACATACATTTAATATTTGACATGCATTTCTAGAGACATTATTACATGCACAATAATTCACATTCAATGTGTTTATTACCAAATTAAAACAGGTGAGTGACATGCACTATTTGTACATAAAATATTCCACAGCTCACTGCATTCTATTAATCAAGCTAACTGCACAACTGACAACAAATGTATGACTTTCTTGTTTCAAAGGAGGACATTCAAGTATCATGTTATGGCTAATGGACATTCAATGCATTGACTATACAGTACTATTGTATATGTTTATATCATCAAACATTTTCACCACCTCCTACTAGCTTACCTGGTCAGGATTATCCCTCTAGCATGAGGCAACAAAAAAAATTATTTTTGGAAATTAATTTTCATCATTAATATAATACCTTACAACTAAATGCTTAAAAAAATGGATTATGTTTTTTTTTTTTGGTACTTTTTCTCTTTTTTTCCAAGTTAAAGTTGTCCTTGTTACAAACTGGTGCATATTTTATATTAGAATTTTTCATTAATCTGCATGTTTAATTCAGTGCCATAACATTTCAATCATGGTTACAGTGTACATTGTGACTTGTGCATCTCTTACAAACACTCACCTTCTTCTCAGTTTCTCTACGCCTTAGATCATTTGCCTTGATTGACAGCAGTTTGAACTTGATAAGTCTGGCCAAGAGGGGTAATGGAATTTCCTCTCCATTATCAAGATGTATCTTGCAAGGTTCACACACTTCAAAATGCTGGGGAACTTCTTTTGGTTTCTTTCCTTTGGGGTTTCCTAACTCTCTGACCTAAAAATAAAAATTTCAAGTTAATTTTCACATGAACTTTAACTAAAAATATTTTCTTGGAAATTTGATTGAAGAAATCAATAACATAATAATGGATAAGAAGAACCTAGATTGAAACTTTAAAATACAATGTAAATATCTTTTTTAATCCCTGAACGTGTCCTTGCAAAGTGTGATATGAAAAGAAACTATGAGAAGGGAAGAACTTATTTGGAAGATGAAACAATATCAATATGTATATCAGGAACATTATGAAATAATGAGCTTTTTTGAATAGATGCAAGATAAAACAACGTAATTAACATATTGTCACCAGTCTTAAAATGGAGGATATTAAACAGTCACTTCATTTGTTACCTCAGCCTCCAATTGCTCCTTGGAGATAACACTGAAGAGTCTTCTAGACCCTGCAGCAATAGTAGCCCCAAGTATGTCAATCCATGTGTAATCATCAGGTTTTTCACCAACAACAAATGCCACATTAGCTTTCCAACTCTCCTACACAATAAATTAAAATAAACAAAATTAAATAGGCTCATTACATTCACATAATAATCAAATACACATTTGTGCAACGTTTATTTATGAAGCAATCGTACCTCATCAAAAGTAGCGGCAAGAAGTGGTTGTTCCCATTTCGCACCTCCCTGTCCCGACCCACTCTTTACTCTCTTCCCTGCTTTCGACATATTTCTTAATTATTGCCAGAACAAAGGGAAATCGCACCTTTACATTCCCTCTACGATTCTGCCGCCATATATATGTTTAGAAGGTTGCTACGAGAAGTAAGCATGCGCGAAATTATCGTTTCCGGTCTAAGGCATGCCTAAAGTGCGTTGATACGCAAAAAGAATGATGTTTAAGTTGAATTCGTAATTTATTCAATATATCTCAGAAGATAAATTTGCATTTTTTTAAAATTGTGTTTTTTAAATTGATAGCCTCTTTGTAACGTGAAGCAGAATGCGCTATATAGATATTTTCTTATTTAAAAAAGATTATTTGAAATTATATCTTATCATTTTATTCTTGTTTTATTTTGAATATATTTTTTTACTTATATAAATTATACATACGCAATAAAAATCTTATTTGAAGTTTGAAGAAATTATTTGAAGACGCGCGTTTTTTTTCTTCTGCGTTATTTAGTAGCGTCCTATATGCAAATCCCCAAGGTGTTCCGATGTTTGCAAAACGAAAGTAGCCAAACACGAGTGTTGTCTGTTGACTTGTTACTTAAGATGCTTGTGTCCCTATGTAATCCCCTCAAAAATACAGGGATTCAGCGAACAGTACATGTGTTTAAACGCTCTACATCGAGTCTATCATCGCAGGCTATAATGTACTCTAAACAAGGAGATCCGAACTCTGTACTCTATCTGCAGAACTGTCAGACACCGCAAGCACTGAAAGACAATGAAGTGCTGGTGAAAATGAAAATGGCTCCAATAAATCCATCTGATATCAACGTGATCGAAGGAACCTACCATATGCTACCAGAACTTCCAGCTGTCTGTGGGAACGAGGGGGTCGGAGAGGTTTTGAGTGTAGGGAAAGGTGTGTCTGCCTTCAGTCCTGGAGACTGGGTAATCCCTGCAGGAACTGGGTTTGGAACCTGGAGGAACTTCGCAGTGTCCACCCAAGACATGCTGAGGAAGGTTCCAAATGATGTACCTGCAATCAGTGCTGCCACAATTATGGTCAATCCTTGCACAGCTTACCGAATGCTGAAGGACTTTGTCTGTTTGCATGAAGGTGACTGTGTGATTCAGAATGGAGCAAATAGTGCTGTTGGTCAGTCTGTTATACAGATAGCGAAGGAGTGGGGATACCAAACTATCAATGTTGTACGAAACAGACCAGATTATGATCAACTGGCAGAGTACCTCAAAAGTTTAGGAGCTAACCATGTGGTCACAGAGGAGTTTTCTCGATCTCATCAAATGAGAGACTTGGTCAAATCAATGTCATCTCCCCCAAAGTTAGCATTCAACACAGTAGGAGGTGATAGTGCAACCAATCTTCTCAAACATTTGGACAGCAAAGGTGTGATGGTGACTTATGGAGGAATGTCCAAAAAACCAGTGGTGGTGTCCACAGGGGCCCTCATATTTAAGAGGGTGAGGCTCACAGGCTATTGGAATGCTAAGTGGGTGCTAGAAAACAAGGAAAACCCAGAACTTGTGAGGATGTTTGATGATCTTTTTGACTTAGTCAGAGAAGGCAAACTTTTGCCACCAGCCTCAGAAACTTTTTCTCTGTCCGACTTCAAGCAAGCAGTCAAATCTTCTCTGGAGGGATATAAAGGAAGCAAGAAAATTTTTCTCATGGATGACTCTTCCTCATGATATTATTATTTAAATAGTAACTATAGTAGTATATATTAGTAAGATATTTAATGTGCCAAGTCATAATTATAAAGTACTGTTTAGGAATATACTGTAATAAAAATTACTCAAGTAAAATTCTTGATTTTAATAAGAACATATGTAACAGAGACAATTTCATGCCTGTACTGGGGATTGAACCTGTGGTCTCTGGCATGCCAGTCCAGTGCTCTTACAATTGAGCTAAAGGGTTCACCCACTAGCCCAAACTAGTAGGAAGCCATGTATCTGACACTACAACATTGCCCCCCTCCAGAGAATATGTCCTCATCTCTTTCGGAGTGACGAAACCTGTGGGGCAAAGGTCTAGCTAAGGGACAATCATTCTCACCCGCCTGAGGACACCTGGGTCCCAAATGTAAGAGAGAGTTTTGTGCTTCTGCAGGGGATTGAACCTAGGGCCTCTGGCTTGCCAGTCCAGTGCTCTTACAATTAACGTAAAGGGTTTACCCACTAGCCCAAGCTAGTAAGAGGCCTTGTATCTGACACTACCACAATTATATTCATACTGTAGAGAGACACAGTGGCTGTCATTGTGTCCAAAATTAGTATCAAAATTAACATATAAGCCTATCAATTTTACAATGACTCTAGACTTTAGATGATCATGGTGATACTATGGTTTCATTTGAAGAAGCCTTTTATTTTGACAATCAATAAAAGCACCTATGTATGAATTAAAAGAATGGTTTTATCATCAGTGTGAAGAATGCTTTTCAGACGACTGATCAAATGGAGTTTTTTGGACCAAACATGCATATAAATGATGCATCAACATGATCAAGGGATGTACACTAACAGACTTGTTTTGTAATATGCTGTATCTGATCTACATTTTCTAAGTACTGCTCAGGTTAAGGCTTTAGGACAACCTATACTGTGAGGCTTTAGAACAACATATACATTCCAAAGTACCTTGTAACTTCAGGCCCTACTTGGACCAAAATTGTATAAATATTGAAGCTAGGGCTGTACACTTCTGGATTAATGGTCTAGTACTGGTATTATTGAGCTCTGTAATCTTTGATTATTTTCATTCTCTATCACTTGACCATTGGTCAGCATGTACAATTTTGTAAAACAATATCTGCAGACCCCCTCCTTTATAAAAATCAAACTGCTTATGTTACATGTAAACCTATACCTAGTATTTTTTGTTACTACCGGTAGCTTTTTTTTAAAAAACTTGTATCAATAACACTGTTACAATAAAAATACACCTTTATTGACAATAAACATGTGAAGGTGACATCATCAAATACTCTCATAATTGCACAAAATGCTTTTGACACAGCTCTGTCACTATCACCTTAATATGGAGATTCATAGCATAACAGAGGGAACAATAACTCTTCAACACACACAAAAAAAAAAACATGTAAACAATGGACGGATTCACCATTTGTATACTTTACACAAATATTACAAAATCTGCAAGTATCTTGCTCACAATTTTTTCATTGTACTCTATGCTTCAACATGTAATAAATCATACATGTATATTTACATATTCTCTACTGTAAAAATAGAAGGAAATAAAATAGAGGTGATAAAATGTCATTCCTGATTACATGTAATACACTGGAAAGTTTCCTAAAAAATGATAATTCACAACTAAATTAGTAAAATGTGCAATATATTTGTAACATACTTTGTAATATCTACTTGCATTATATATTTCTTTACTACAATGTCTTGAGGACAAGCTGAACCGTAAGCATTTCTCCTTCAATCATGACAACTAAATAAAGTGGATTGAATTTACATTCAATGTACTTCTGTTCACTCTTTAAAAATTTTGCTTTAATGGTAATGATTTTTCAAAAGCTAAGTTATAATTAAAATGTTCTCAAATGCAGCATACTGAGTAGTGCAAATCTGAAATAAATTGATCTTTCAATCTGAAAAATTTTATAAAGGAATATAATGGTCATTTATTTAGGGTTATCTCCCTTGTCAAAGGGTCAATGAACCTTAAACATTAACATCACAAAAATCATAAAAAGCTATTCTGAGATTACACATTGTTGAAGTCAAAACAATAAAGTAACATGAGTTTTACAGTTACTTTTTTGCAGAGGGCCACATCTCTGTTAAGAAATATTTTATACAATATTAGTATCACAGTTATAAACATAGCAATATCTACCTTTTTAAGCAGAATTCTCTGGTTATTAAGATTTCATTTGACCCCCACCCCCTTCACTTTGAGACACTCCTTACCAATAGCTAAGTAAAATTTAATGACTGGATTGGTTTCTATATAAAATAACAAATTTCATTCCGAGTTATTTTTCCAAGATTACGGAGTGTATCTCATTGACGATTTCTCACAGGGTACCTAACCTTATTAGTACTGTAAACTGCTTAAAAATTATGAATTGTAGTTAAATCAATATTTTTAAAATTAAATATTTTTGAAAAAAATATTTACTAAGTCTTTTAAATATATTAATCACAGATGCCAACTACATTGCTTGTAGCAATTAAATTAAGCTATCAAATTCAAAGGACATCACATGCATTATAACTTACTTTCAAATCTGAGACAAGATTTCAGTTTATACATGTGTATAAAAAAAATCATGTTATGAAGTGCATGCACATGTAAAAGTAACCACAAAGTACTTTTACAATTTTTAAAGTTCTCAAAGGCAATAAATGTAATATGAGAATAATTTTTTTCCTTTGAATTAAACCCAGTATAAATCATAGATGAACCTTCATACACAGCAATTTATGCAAATATTCAATTTCTTTTGATTTTATCATATGAATCTCTTACAAACAAATTCAGAATAACAGAGGAATGTGTGACACATGCAAATACTGGTACATGTAATACTAATACACAGGAAAACAAACACATGATTGAGAGACAGAGTCCCTGACAACTGATGAATATGGTTTGTTGGAGAATGTTCATGTTGGCTGATTTCTATTTTGGCCTTCAATTCTAATGTATTACTTTCACTGAAGTCTTCTCAGATCTATCTCATACAAAGGTCAGGTAAGAACACACTGATCAATACATGTCATCCTTTTGGTAAAACTGAGTTTTACAATGATTCAAATAAAAGAAATATTACATTGATGTCTTACTTAGTTTTGAACATTATAAACATAAATCTAAATGCATCACACTTGGAAAACTAATGGAAATTTTCAGAACGAATTGTACACAAAATTAAAAAAGAAATCTTGTGGGGGTATGTGAGTGATTCCAAACAAATCCAAAACCATTTAGGTATCAAGTGAGCAAAAATGCAGACATTTTCTTTTTTTAAATAAAAACTATTAACTCTTAATTGCAACAAACATTTAAATGTCATTGAGACAAAAATATTGCAGCTTCTGTCACGGATTTCAAAGAAGTCTGGTCCAGCAGGCTACTTTCCCATAATGCACTATTTCTACCCATCATGCACTGTCCATCAAGTTCAAAAGGTCATCTTCATCCTCATTCTGGTTGCCTTGAATTGACAATTCCCCTGCTATCCTGCTCAGCTCGTCATTTTTATTTTTCTGTGGGAAAAAAATGTTCATGAATAATTGATTTCATCCTTGTATAAGATACAAAGAAAGACAGAAATCTAAAAGTCAGGTGAGTATAGAAAAACATAGTATCAAGGGTTTTTGAAAGAAAAAAAAACCAATGGTATATTTGTTTGTGTGTATCAAGTCATAAAAATGTACCATACATATACATATTGAAAATGTGTACTGGAATTCATAGGATAAACATACAATGGAATATCAATAATTATTGAAATACTGGTATGTTTGACTGCAAAAAAGAAATATGCATGATTTCCATTGAAATCTTTGAATTAAGTGAACACATTTTTTCAGGAGAAAAATTTTGCATGTAAAAAGAGTCACTTCTATAAAAACAAGAACATTTACGTTTGTTTTTGTGAGGTACATGCACTGTGAAATACCTTTTGAAGCACTTACAGACAGCAATAGAAATTAAAATTCAATTTGATTTTACTTTTAATGTCCTTATCAAAATCCATCTGTGCAGACCAAAATTGATTTGTTCAGTGAGGGAAATTAAAAGAAAATCACAAATGTAACTTACATAACCCTGATCAGCCTAACACTTAAACAGACAAATAGACATACTTGATTTAATATATGTCCTGTTCATTGGAAACAGACTACTAGCTTGAGCTGTTTCATTCTACTTGTGAGCAAATGCATATTAAATGTCTTTTTAAGCCATTAAAACTTAAGGTATTCAAAGTGAGCTCATAAAGCAAAACTTCCCATTGTATTAAATTCTTTTAAATTGCTGCATCGATTTCTCATATACAAAGATACCAGATACAGGTTTTACTCATTTTATCAAAGACCTTGAAGTAGAACAAATGACCTTGTTTCAATCTCAAGATACATCCACAAAAAAGAAGCAATATTTCTTTCATGTAGAAACCTCCAATTTTTTACAATTAAAGAGTCGAAAACCATTCATGAATCATATAAATTTTTTTTTCATTAGTGACCTTGCCCTTACTATTATGACCTTAGGTCAAGTCATTATTGATCATACGGGAGCAAAAGTTATCCTTAAATGCTTACAATGCATCCAACACAAAAATGTCTGGGTACTTGTAGTGTGCGGAATTTAAGTACCTATTAATGAACTTTATCTACCAAAATATTGGACAACCTTAATTTTCTTTCTGATAAACATAATCTATACAATATATTTAAGTCTTCAAATCAATTTTAAATGTGCTACAGTAAAAAATAACACTATTATCAGTATATGAACATGTACCTTGAGATCAATGTTGACTACTTTTGACTGAGCATGGTCAACAGGTTGAATGCTTGCTACAGAAGCTTGCCTGAAATGAAAATACATGTGTATATATATACATTTCAAGATTACAAGTAGACAAAATTAAAAAAAAAAAGATCCCTAAGTTTATGCAATTACTTTATTTTTTAATGTAAATAACAAATACTGGTAAATGAATACAGACATTAACCTTATCATTTTTTTACCAGTATTAATCTAGATGTGTACTGCAGAGTTATTTCCCTTTAATGCTAAGTACATCAGTACTTACTCTTCCTCTTCATCTGTTTTGAACAGATTGAGTCGGATTTCTGATTTGGCGGCAGAGCTTCCAATTAGCTGACAAAGAAGATCTAACTGAGCTTTGGCCATTGGATCTGGTGTCGCTGATTCCTAACAAGAGAGAAACAAAACAGCATTCTTAGGAGGTAAAAAAGAATCAGAAAACACTACCACCATTTTTTTCCCTTCCCCCATTCTATAAATAAAAAGAATTTTCAATACCCATTATGTATTAATCTACCAATACAGAATAAATAATATCAGCTAAGCAAGAGAAATGGAAGACTGTAACATATTGGACAATTATAGAGGTTATTACTTACAATATCAGACAGAGTGGGTGTAGATTTAGACGTGCGATTTGATCCACTGATTTCTACTGGCCTCGAAACAGAATACCTGTCAAAGGTCAAACATTTAATTTACATAATCCACTTGTTATCTGGAAAGTAATAATTTGAAATTATTTTCAGAAATTTTAAAGACACACAAAAAGATGTCACATACTTTTATTTTAAAAGGCAATTTGAGACTGGATTCAGATTACTGTATCGCAAAATCAAACTAACACATAGCTTTTTTATACATATATTCTACATCAGTCAAAACACTAAGAAGTTCAGCAAAAGAAGGCAACATAACAATTTCATAGAAAATGAAACCCAAAATTAATACATGCTCATATGTATTACAAGTATACACAAATGTAAATAATTATGATATAAAGATGCTACAGATATAGCTGATATACAATATGATTTTATACCAATGATTGTATCAATAATGTTTTATATTAATGTTTACTTATTTGCAAATCCCCTATGACCAAGATGCATGGTTTTAATTCAATTATTCAAAAGTGCATTTATCATTTTCAAAACTCAGTCACCCACTGAAGCATTACTGTAACAGTAATTTACAGAGAACACAGATTATTTCAAAATATAATTTAAGAGTTAATTTAGAAATTCTACCATTAATATAAAGCTAATTAAGCAGTAGCTCATCCAAATGAAACTCAAACAAAAACTCACTGTTGGCCATAGGCATGTATGTACCTATAAAATTAGTGTGCACTTTTAAAACTGAAGTGTCAATAGCCGTTTATCATAACTTAATCTTAAAATTTTAAAGTACACTATAATACGTTTATTTACACACAAAACATACATTTTCAATCCTCACTAGTGATAATCAGTTGAAAAAAATTAGAAATTCTAAATTTATTAGATCAAAACAAAATAATTTTGGGACACTAATTTATGATTGCATTATTAAGTTGAAGAGTTGGAGAGGACAACTACACTATACTTGCATGCACCTATTCATAAACAATTCCCTTTTTTCAAATTGGTACATGAATCATTTTAAATGCAATGTGTAAGCTAACCAACTAAGTAATCAGTGTTTACTAGTATGCATTTGTAGGCATGATACATGTATATGCAGCTTCTTACTAACTCTCTTACAGTAACCAGCCTGTGATACTAGTTTTAACATACCATGCAGTTACATGTACATGTATCTTTTTTTTTTTCTTTATTTGAATGTGTTTTTACAAATTACACATTTTATTCAACTGATTGCTTTGAATGGTAGATTTGTAACATTATAAATATACTTTTTTACCTCCCCCCCCCCCACCTCTAAAAAACAAAAATTCCCATGTCTTACATATTGGTTCCTAGGGTCGTGATTCTGTTCCCCATGATGTCCAGAGAGCCGTCACCCTGAGAGGGCTGATAGCTTCCCCCCGGGGGGAAGGAAGAGGTTTTAACTTCAGCACCACTGGCATTGAATAACCTTTGGAGAAGAATGAAAACACACATGTATTAATTAGCTTTACACCAGTGATCTATGAATAAAATTGTTCAGTGAATATGTAAGGGTCAGATGCAGTACTATAATACAGTTGACCTTCAGATATCCGGATGCTTCAATATCCTGACGATTTTCATTGGAACGAAATTTTTTATTGCTATTTTGTCTTGTTTAACTGGTAATTCAGATAACCGGATGCTTCACATATCCAGACAAATTGACTACGAACCAAAGCGTCCAGATAAATGAGGCTCCACTGTATATGGAAGCACAAGTCTGCAAAAACCAAAGAAAATGTAGCAAGAAGTCTGTTAGCCAATGCCCACTAGTAATACCTCTGCTACTACCAACAGGCACACAGAAAAAGAAGACATTGACATTGAATTCATATGACCATATGACATACTGTGAAATCATTAATTTTCATGGTTTTCAAGGTATGAAGAGACCCACGAATTTATGTCCACCACTAAATGCAATTTTTCACATATATTTCTACTGAACAATTCTTCAACCACAAAATCTTATCCCCATAAACCAATATATTTTCCTCAAAACATGAAAATTTGGCCACTTGAAAATGTGTGATTTTACAGTACTTAAACAAAGTGTGTGCTAAAATTTCAAGCATATGCAAATGGAAACTGCAATGGAAATTTGGTACAGAAAGGCTCAGGTTTAAATAGGATATTGACATTGGATTCATTCAAAAGCAAATCCCATCAAATGGCATGCCATAACAATGAGTGTGATAAGATTTCAAGCATCTTTCAAGCATCTACCAAGAGTAGTTGCTGAGAAAACTGTGACATAATTTGTTAATACCTAGAGATAGACAGACAGACACACACAGAGAGGGATAGAAAGTCAGACAAACACACAAGGTTAAAACAATATACCCCCATTTCCTTTGGAGTGGGGGTATATGAGCAGAAATTTCAATGTTTTGTAAAACAAGAGGCCCATGGGCCTTATAGGTCACCTGAGCATTATTCAACAACTTTCCAGTGATTGAATTTGTTTTAAGCCAGATGCTATAGCATTTACAATTTGGTAATCATAACTATACACTTAGCAGTTCCTTAGTTTGGTTACTTAATACCCATAGGCAGGGTAGGGGAACAAAAAATGCATTTCAACAAATCAGTAATATTCAGCAATAATCAGTAGTGCCGCTACCACACAGGAATCCTTGACTCTTAGGCTTTGATCCACACATTGCACAATTTTTGGAAAGGCGTCCTTGCTTTTCAAAAAAATTTGATGAATACCAAGGAGCACATTTCAAACAATTCATTCATTTTCAGTATATAAGTACAGCCCCCCCCCCCCCCCCCCCCCCCTCTATGGTACAACTGATCCTGGGGTCTTGAAATTTACAATTCTTGAAAATTGGGTCCCTTGCTCATAACTATATAGGTAGTTCATTTGCTTAAAACCTAGGAACAAAGAATAAAATATTCAAAGATTTAATGTTTTTTCACTATACATGTATAATCAATACAGCCCCCCCCCCCCCGCCCTAACACCAGAACCCCTGACTCTGGGGCCATAAAATTCACAATTTTGGTAGAGGCACTCTTGCTCATTATAACTATGTACTTAGTTAGTTTATTTAATATTCAGGAGCAGAGAAGAAGATTTTCAAAGAAATAATGCATTTTCACTATATACTTATTTAGCCCCGCCCTAGCACAAGAACCCCTGACCCCAGGGCCATGAATTTCACAATTTTGATAGAGGACTCAATGCTGATTACAATCATGCAAACAGTTTGACTGCTTGATGTCCAGGAGTAAAGAAGAAGATTTTTAAAGATTTCATTAATTTTAGTGGTTTTGGCCCCACCCCCCAGGCCCCAGGGGGGTAGGGATCATGAAATTCACAATTTTTGTTCCCCTTCACCCATAGATGCTTTGTGCCAAATTTGGTTGCAATTGATTCAGTGGTTGCAGAGAAGAAGCTGAAAATGTTCAAAAGTTTACGACCGATTGACGACGAACGACGAACGACGTACGACGAACGACGGACGACGACGGACAAAAACAGATAGCAATAGGTCACCTGAGTGACTCAGGTGACCTAAAAAAAAAAATGTATATCGAATTTATTTGAATTTATAAAATGTTGTTCAGGGTTTGAATTATTTTCACTCATGCTTCATACTTTAAAAAAATCCTGTCATATTTGAAAAAAAAATCCATATTCATGCAGTACAAAAATGTTTTTCATCCTCTCAGATTTTTTTCTTGAAGGAACTGAAAGTGTATAATAAAGAAATATTATCCCATGTCTGTTTGGGATTTCTCCTGATCAATGTTTTACCCCTTTTTTCTTTTTTTTTTTTTTTTTACATGTAACACACTACAGCAAAACTCGTTTAGTACGAACACAGATATAGCGAATTCATGGATATAGCGAATTCATTTTGGATCCCCAGCTATATAAATTTAACAAATTCCTTATATGGATATAACGAATTATGGATATATCGAAGTAATATCATAGGTCCCTGTGACTTCGTAATAACCAAGTTTTACTGTATTCTTATTTATTAAATCATTTAATGTTTCAATGTGGCCAATATCAAAATGTACTGATTGGATTGGAAATTTCTTCCCTTTGTATCTGAATTTATTAAAACATCTTTTTATTTTGTCCAACATGCAATCTGTATTGATTTATATTGCAAAAATATCTTTAGAAGGGAAATGCATATCAATATAGAGGAAAAAACCTAAGGCACTGCATAATCATTGTTCTCTAACAATACAACATACTGATCAATATTAAATTAAGGTGTTCTCCACATCACTGTAATATAACACAAGAAATTCAATCAATCAGGTTTTTTTTGAGCTCTTAAAGCCAGTTAATGGTGTAGTTAATGCAGCATGACGTGTCTAAAGATGAAACACTTTCAAGGAAATCTCGCAGGGCTTCAAAGCCAAGAGGAACGTCAAGAGACCAATATTATCAATAACAAACAGGTTAATTTCAGAGGAGAGCCGCTATGCAAATATTGATTGATGATCAGGAAAGAATGTGACACAAAGGCAAATATTGCCATTATAGTGAATAATGTCTCAGACCTTATTACATATTATTTCATGTATTGCACTATAAATAAATTAATAGAAATCTATTATGAGAATGGATGAATTGTCTGCATGCAGACTTAACTAACAATAAATCACATTCAGCAAAATCTGAATGGTTGACAGGAGATTTCATTTCCATTAATATTTCTGTTGGAAAAAATTGTGTAATGAAATCAAATGCAGTATGAAGCAGTTGCTGAAGAATTTGTTTATTTGAGCACCTTTAAATTAATATTCATGATTTTTCTTACTTAATGGTTCCTGGAATCTCGGCTCCATAAGGCACAGCACCACCTGCTGGTAAAACAAAGCGACCATTGCTATTTTGAACTTTGTCCTTGAGGAATATTGAAACCTGAAAGAAAGGGTAAAAAAAAAATTTAGTACGTGTCCTATCAATATTTCAACAACAATAACAAAAAAAACATTTTATTATGTTTAAATTTACTGATCCCTAAAATGGAAATTGTTAATAAACATGATAAACGACAAAAGATTGATTTTCAAAATAAACATCAAAGAGAGAGAGAGAGATGCCATGGGTCACAAAGCTCATCTGAGTCATTATAGCCTTGCCATCCTTCAATAGCTAACTTTCACGCCTTGTGACCCACCCTATTCTAAGGGATAATGATTTGAAAAAAAAAAACCTACAAAGAAGGTGTGGCCCTTTATTTTATTAAACCTGCCTCCTTTTCACACAAGGGTGTTTTGTGGCAAGTTTGGTTGAAACTGGCCTGGTGCTTCATGGGAAAAAGTTGAAAATAAGAAGTGCACAGACAGACAGATAGATTTCACATTAAATTTGATCAGAAAAGTTAACTTGAGCAGGCCAGCTTTCAGCTCAGATGAGAGAAAATGAGAACTTAAGAAGAGAAGGGCCACAGAGCTGGCCTGAGAGAGAAAAGAAGATTTTAAAAGGTTTCCCTATATATCCCTATGTAAAACTTGGGTCGGCCATTTTG